TTTTTTTACGATGTCACAAAATATCTAAAAATTTTGCCTTTAAAAATGGAAATTTCTGATTTGTTTTTCACGCAAATTTACAACTTTCATGCTCAGAGAATTTCCTTATTTTTTCTTAAAAATTTCTGAAATCACAAAATTTATGAGATTTACTTTTTTCATCTGCAAAATGGCCTTAATGTGCCATCATACTATCATTCCTCAACAGATGATCTTAGCCTAAAACTCAGAGGTGTATAAAATACTTGGGTGGGAACTAAGCAAAAGTACCTTAACACAAAAGGTAAAGATAGTTTTAACTGGATTTAAGAAGTAAACTGCTCACAATACTTGGAAAAAGTAAAACAAAAAATACTTTTACATGTTTAAACCAAGTTCAGTAAATTTATTTACATTAACTCAGCTGGGTTTAGTGGAACCAGATAAGTAAATTTAACTCTTCATTTTTTACAGTGCATATATATATCATATTTAAATTTGTAATGAGTAACGAGGTGTTAAATTTTAAATTTAAAAAGTATAATTTTTATGTTTTGAATGTAACAAAATAAAGTTATGATTTAAAATAGACAGAATAGAAGAAGAAATAAGTACTGTAACGTAGTAAATGTACTGTTATTGTACACGTCTGCTAAAAGTATAAAAGTCAGTGATCCTTCAGTCATTGCTGTTAATTATCCGTACTGCTTGATTTAAAAACACGCTGCACAACAAAAGAGTTCCTAATAATAGGCCAGGATGCTCCTGTTACCTGAGTGACCTGACAGCTCCAGGTGTGGGCGGAGTCTGATCCTGAGCAGTGATTGGTCTGCTGTGAAGCCTGAGCACCTCAGCAGTATAAAGCAGAGGAACCTGACCGGCTGGAGAAAAAGTTCTCAGCAGCTTTCATCCATGGCCACTGTTGTTCAGGTGAGTACGATCCTCCTCACAGTTTCTGAGCAGCGTTAAAAGTTTATCTGCAGAAGTTCGAAGTTTTAACTCTTATTTATTTAAGTCTTTCAGAGTAACAAGCAGGAAGAAAAACTTCAATTATGAATAAAATGTTTAATTTTATTTTAATTTAGTCAAGGAGCCCTTTAAGTTTCAATAAACTAAATGAATTTCTTTAAAATAACTGAAAAAACTAGTAAATAAATTTATAATTTTAAGAGAAAATAACCAAAATACAAAGTTTTACTGCTTAGAATTTATTTGTTAAACATTTTTCATGCAAACAGGAGATTTATCTACGGTAAATTAAAAGTGATAAACTGTGCTCATCTGTTTCTAAATGTTAATGAGTTGTAGACGTGTGTCCAGTGGTTAGGTTATAAAAATCATCCTGTGGTTTATTAAATATTTTTCTAACACGCACAGAACAAAAGCAACAATGTCGTGAAACAGAAACAAAGCAGAGCAGGATCCTGACACTGGGAGGTCAGCGTTTGCTGTAAGCGAATCTTGTTTGTGAGGCCGAGCCCTCCTTTGTGTCTTTGTGTTTCTAATGAAGACTGTGACGGGTGAACACAAACACAGATGAGAAGTTGTCGTGTCGGTGTGTAACGTGAAGTGTGGCGCAAACAGGCAGCAGCTACAGTTTCAGCTGATTAACCTGCTGTCAGCATGAATTCAATTATCCTCTCCTTTACCCACCGTGCTTCAGTGATCCAATGAGGTTTCTATGGATCAAAAATTAGAGACGGTGTTCGTAAAGCAAACTGAGCTCAAAGTTCCACCAACTTTGATCATTTATTAAAAATATAAGCTGTAAATAAAAGAAATGATGACTTTTTTTTGTCTCTCAGTTTGCATCCTGCTATGCTGGCGGAAGAGGACCCGGAGGAGGAGGAGGAGCCAACTACCTGTCGCTCCTCACAAACCGGGGCCCCCGCTGCGCCCCCCGACCCCGGCTGGTCTACCACGCCCCCAGGATGACCCTGAGACAGATCTGCCGGATGCTGAAGATGATGAAGCAGGTCAGGAACCGAGAAGCTGCTGCTGCTGCCAAGTGAGCAACAACACTACTCAAACATTATATTATCTAAAGGATCTATAGATAACTCATATACATCTATAGAAAGAGCATGTGTGCCTGTAAATCTATAGGAACCAAATGTGTGTTCCTATACACCTGTAGGAGTTATACCTGGTTTCATATACATCTATAAGAAACTATAGGAACCATGCATGTGTTCAAATATAACTATAGGAACCATACATGTGTTCATATATAACTATAGGAATCACACATGTTCATATATAACTATAGGAATCACACATGTGTTCATATATAACTATAGGAACTACACATGTGTTCATATATAGCTATAGGAACCATACATGTGTTCATTTATAGCTATAGGAACCATACATGTGTTCATATATAGCTATAGAAACCATACATTTGTTCATATATAGCTATAGGAACCACACGTTTTCATATATAGCTATAGGAACCATACACGTGTTCATATATAGCTATAGGAACCACACGTGTTCCTATATAACTAGGAACCATACATGTGTTCATATACAGCTATAGGAACCATACATGTGTTCATATATAGCTATAGGAACCATACTTGTGTTCATATATAACTATAGGAACCATACACATGTTCATATATAGCTATAGGAACCATACACGTGTTCATTTATAGCTATAAGAACAATATGTGTTCATATATAGCTATAGGAACCATACACGTGTTCATATATAGCTATAAGAACAATATGTGTTCATATATAGCTATAGGAACCATACACATGTTCATATATAGCTATAAGAATAATATGTGTTCATATATAGCTATAGGAACCATACACGTGTTCATATATAGCTATAGGAACCATACACGTGTTCATATATAGCTATAGGAACCATACACTTGTTCATATATAGCTATAGGAACAATATGTGTTCATACATAGCTATAGGAATCATACATGTGTTCATATGTAGCTATAGGAACCATACATGTGTTTTTATACATCTATAGAAACGCTGCATATTGTAGTGTGCTGTAGTGAAAGAATGATTATTTACAGAATATAAAAGCCCAGCATGTATTTGACAATAACCAGTCTGTTTCTGCTGGTTCTGTTTGTCCCAAACGAGTCAGTGATGACTTGGTTCTGTTTGGAGACACAAGAGTCCATGTTTTTAATAATTCAAAACTCTGAAGTTTCTGCAAAACAGTGTCACTTCCTCCTCTCGTGTCTCAGTCTCTGTGTCTGGTTTCTCTGCACAGGAAGCAGGCCTCGGCCTCTGCGTCCCCGGCCCCGGCGTCTCCAGGCTCCAAGTCGGACAGGAGGTGCGTCCCCTGCTGCCTCCGGCGCAAACGCAACCTAAAACGGGTCAGCTGACCCACAGAGCTGGAGCTTTGACTCAGCAGGAACCAGTTTCAAACCTGGTGCTGGTGGTCTCAGTGAAGGGGAAGATCATCATCATCATCATCATCAGACCCAGATGACAGATTTAATTTGGAACGTTGGTCCAAGACGTTCAGGGACAATTTGACTTCAGGTTCATCAGAGGAGGATGCAGATGAAAGACAAAAACAAGTTAAGCTAAAATTTTATAATTTGGTTCCAACTTAAACTGAAAGAAATGTCACTTTGTTTGTTTGTTTTGTTTTTTGCAGCTGCACACTTCACTTTTCCTTTGGTCTTTTTTTTAAAGACAACAATTTTGTTTTTCATGTGATCATAAGATAATTATATTCCTGACATTATGTCAGCAGAGTTTTTGTAAAATAAGTTTATTTTGTATAGTAGCAGCTGTTTGTTTGCAGTGCTGTTTGTTGTATATACATGTTAAATGTGAAGTAAAGTTTCAGGAAATGTTTGTTAAACTTGAGACAGTCTTAATATGTTTGAAAACAAATCTGAAATCTGAGTTTGATAATAAGTTTTTATTTAAGATCCATCTGAAGTTTAGTTTCATGGCTGATCAAAAAGTTGAAATGTTTTGATAAAAAAAGTTCTGGTTTTACTTCAGTCTAATAAAGAGTTTAAATCAAATCCTAAAGAACAGTTTATTGACTTTAAATCAGTGAGGATGATGATGTTTCTCTCAACATCCATCCATCCATCAGAACATCTGTAAACAACACATCATCTGTAAACATCAGAACATCATCTGTAAACAACACATCATCTGTAAACAGAACATCTGTAAACAGAACATCATCTGTAAACATCAGAACATCATCTGTAAACAACAGAACATCATCTGTAAACAACACATCATCTGTAAACAGAACATCTGTAAACAGAACATCATCTGTAAACAACAGAACATCATCTGTAAACATCAGAACATCATCTGTAAACAGAACAGTATCTGTAAACATCAGAACATCATCTGTAAATAGAACAGTATCTGTAAACAACAGAACATCATCTGTAAACATCAGAACATAATTTGTAAACAACAGAACATCATCTGTAAACAACAGAACATCATCTGTAAACAGAACATCTGTAAACACATCGTTTGAAAACATCAGAACATCATCTGTAAACAACTCGTCATCTGTAAACAGAACATCATCTGTAAACAGAATACCATCTGTAAACAACACATCATCTGTAAACATCAGAACATCATCTGTAAACAACGGAACATCATCTGTAAACAACGGAACATCATCTGTAAACAGAACATCATCTGTAAACATCAGAACGTCATCTGTAAACATCAGAACATCATCTGTAAACAACAGAACATCATCTGTAAACATCAGAACGTCATCTGTAAACATCAGAACATCATCTGTAAACAACAGAACATCATCTGCAAACATCAGAACATCATCTGTAAACATCAGAACATCATCTGTAAACAACAGAAATGAGACACTGTGGTTCTCAAACCACTTCTCCATGACTGTCTTCAGATCCATGAATAGTTTATTTGTTTGTGTTCAGAAATAAAATTCAAATTCAAAAATACTTCATTGATCCCAGAGGGGAAAACGGTCAAATTTTCCCCTAAAATTAATTAAACCAACCTTTTATTTGTTTGATTTATTTGTTTTGTTTGTTTGATTTCTTTGTTTTCTTTATTTGTTTTGTTTGTTTGATTTCTTTGTTTTC